TTAGGACCGTGCTGACATCCGACAACCGATTCAGAATGGGGGTGGGGATTGCAACAGGTCGGAGAGAGAAGACGATACAGTAGTACAGACAAAAGAAACGCTGTATTACTGGAGGTTTGGAAATCGGGGGAGGGGCAGAGATAGCTTCCTGCGATCAGCCATAAGAATTTTCAACAACGGATGCAATATGGAAATATTTTAGGTGCTGATCATCCACCCTTCTCTGGCAGGATTAATGACAAAGAAAAATCGTCTCCTCTCCCATTGTCTGGTGGGAGTCAGATGAAAGAAATTCTTAGAGCAAAATAATTAAGCGGGGCTGGGCAAACCTGTTCTTTGACTATGTTTTTCTCCTATTGTTTTTTTAAAATATTTCATTGAATTTTGTGTAATATTTAAGCTGTTAAGTATAAAATAGCAAACATAGAAATAAGAAGGAATGTGCTAAATGTCACTGCCCAATCGCTGTTTTTCGGTTCCATCCCTTCTGGCTAGCTGTTCATTCTTGGTGCTCCAGTTGTGTTAATACTAGCTACCAGGCACACTACCTTCCTCCCTGAGTGGTCCTACTGATGAAGCTAACGCCTAGATCCCGCCATTTATTCCCCATTACTGGAACTTTGCATGCTTCTCAGCAGGCCCAGGTGGCTGCTCACATGGATCAAATTGCAGGCTCAAGGGTTAAATAAATAATATGTTGTTGTGTGAAACAGACACAGGAAGTTTAGGCCAGGATGTTAACTTTATTAAAATAAGCTACAGAAATGCTTTCCGTTTAATTGAAACCTTATTTGTAATGCAAACATTAGGGCTATCAAGTGATTAAATGTTTAATCGTGATTAATCACACTGTTAAATAATTTAATGTTATTTATTTAAATATGTTGATGTTTTTCTACAAATATATTGATTTCACTTTCAACACATCAGAGTACAGGGCTGGCTTTAAGTGTGATTACAAATATTTGTGCTGTTAAAAATAGTATTTTTTAATTCACCTCATACAAGTGCTGAAATGCAATCTCTATCATGAAAGTTGAACTCAAGGTAGGATTATGTATAAAAATAACTGTGTTCAGAAATAAAACAATGTAAAATCTTTTCCTCTCCCATTGTCCGGAGAAAGTCAGATGAAAGAAATCCCTAAAGCAAAACAATCAAGTGGGGCTGGGCAAACCTATTCTTTGACTATGATTTTATCCTATTAGCTTTTTAAAAAATATTTCATTTACTATTGTGTAATATTTAAGCTATTAAGTATAAAATAGCAAACATGAAGATAACAAGGTATGTGCTAAATGTCAATGTTCAATTGCTGTTTTTCTTTTCCATCCCATCTTGCTAGTTGTCCATTCTTGGTGCTCCAGTTATGTTAATAGTAACTACCAGGCATAAGAGTCTACAAGTTCACTCAGTCCTATTTCTTGTCCAGCCAATCACTCAACAAGTTTGTTTACATTTGCAAGAGAACTGCTGCCCATTTCTTGTTCACAGGATCTGCTTGATAATGATACGAAACAGTGTAGACTGATGCATATTCATTTTCTTCATCTGAATCAGATGTCAATAGCAGAAGGTTGATTTTTTTTGGTGGTGGTTGGATTCTGCCATTTCTGCATTGGTATGTTGCACTTTTAAGACTTCTGAAAGCATGCACCACACTTTAGTCCACTCAGATTTTGGAAAGCACTTCAGACTCTTAAACCTTGGAGTGTTGTAGCTCTCTTTAGAAATCTCACATTGGTGCCTTCTTCCTGTTTTGTCAAATCTGTAGTGAAAATGTTCTTAAAACAAACGACATGTGCTGGGCTATTTTTACAATGCAAATATTTATAATAAAATAATATAAAGTGAGCACTATACAGCCTGTGTTGTGTGGTAATTGAAATCAGTGTATTTGAAAAGGTAAGAAAACATCCACAAATATTTAATACATGTCCAGTGAGATAAGAATGAACAAAAGAATGGCCATACTGGGTCAGACTTAAGGTCCAACTAGCCCAGTATCCCGCCTTCCCACAGCAGCCAATGCCAGGTGCTCCGGAGAGGGTGACCAGACCAGGGAATCATCAATGTATCCCTCTCCTGTCATCCATTTCCAGCCGCTGATAATAATTTATAGATTAACCTCCATGAATGGATCAGGTTTTTTTTAAACCCTGTTAAAGTCCAGGCCTTCACAACATCCTTCCTCAAGGAGTTCCACAGGTTCACTGCGTGCTGTCAAGTGGTGATTAAGCACGATGATTTTAATCCATTGAGTTAATTAGGAGAGTTAACACTGCCATTCATTAGCAACCCTAATAAACCTCCCCATGTTTTCCCTCCGACGTTAGGAGCCCGGACAAAAGCCCATTGCACTCAGGTTGAAAAGGGAGCCCGTGGGGTGGCCCCGTGTGAACGCAAAGCCCAAAGAAACGGGACAGCCGGGCGGGGTGTAAGCGGGCTGCAGCCCCTGCGGTGGGTGTGACGCACGCGCACGCGCACGGCTGCTCGGACAGCAGGGCCCGGCCTCGTTCTCGCCCGGCGCCTCTAGCGCGCGGGGCTGAGCCCGGCCCCCGGTCTCCGCCCCAGCAGCTGGGGGCAGTGGAGGCCCCGCCCCGCGAGGCGGAGTCAC